TTCAATAAAATATCTGGAATTAAGAATCTAATGATGACCATGAATCCATTGTTGATTGTCGGAAAAACCCATCTGGTTCACTAATGTCCTTTAGGGAAGGAAGCTGCCATCCTTACCTGGTCTGGCCTACACGTGACTCCAGACCTACAGCAATGTGGTTGACTCTGAACTGCCCTCTGGGCAATTTGGGATGGGCAATAAATGCTGCCCTAGCCAGCAATGCCCTCATCCTGTGAATGAATAAAGAATAAAGTAAAGGACTTGGAAATATATCACTGTTCCTTGCTGGGTAAGTGTCGCTGGAATTCCCTCCTTAAAGATATTTGGATGTACCTAGAGAACATGCACTGCAGTGGTTCAAGAAGTCAGCTCACCACCTCTTTCTCATGGGCACCTAGGGACAGGCAATAAATGCTGGGCCCAGCCAGCGATGGCTATGTCTCATGAATAAAAAAAACCCTCCAAACGTTATCACTTCCCACTAAGGCTCATGCCCTTGAAACTGCATTCATACTCAATGCATTCTCTCTTTTTCTAATCACACCCAATGCTTTAATCTATTGCTATCTTGTATAAGACTGCAGGAGTTATGAGTAAAACTAGGCCATTTGGCCCTTCAAATGTGCTCCACGATTCAATGAAATCATGGCTGATCTGACAATCCTCAACTCCACTTTCCTGCCTTTCCCCATACCCTGTGATTTCCTTTCTGATTAAAAGTCTATAACAGAAAAATACCATAAATTCAGTCCCCTCTGACAGAAGAAATTCCTCCTCATCTCTGTCTTAACTGGGCAACCCTTTATCCTGAGATTATGCCCGCTAATCCTAAACTCTCCCACAAAGGGAAACAACCTTTCCACATCTACACTATCCAGTCCTCTAAGTGTCTTATATGGTCTGACAGAATGTATGGACAGAAAGCAGAGTTAATATTTCAGGTCCAATGGCTCTGGTCTTCTGAAGAAGGGTCACTGGACCCAAAATATTAATCTGCTTTCTCTCCACAGATGCTGTCAGGCCTGCTGTGTTTCTGCAGCAGTTTTTGTTTTGGTTTCAGATTTCCACCATCCACAGTTCTTGGTATTTTTCTCTCCTCAAATAATCTTGTATGTCTGAATAAAATTGCCTGTAATTCTTCTAAGTTCCAATGTGTGCAGGCCCAATTGACCCAACCTCTCCTCATAAAACAATCTGTCCATACCTCCATTAGTCAAGTGAACCTTCTTTGGACTGCCTCCAATGCCAGTATATCTTTCATTAGACAAGGGAACCAAACTTTTACAGTATTCCTGCTGTTGATTCGCCATTCCTTTTGAAATAAAGGCCAACATTCTGTTTTTCTTACTTATTTACAGGATGTGGCCACCACTACTAGAACCCAGCATTGATTTCCCATCTTATTTGCCCAGAGAACAGTTGAGTCAATCACATTGCAGCGGTCTGGATTCACATCTAGGCCAGACAGGGTAAGGAAAGCAGTTTTCTTCCCTAAAGGATATTAGCGAATCAGATTTTTTTCTGACAATTAACAATGGTTTCACGCAAGGGCTCCCAAATCCTTCTGTTCTGTAGCTTTCTGCAGTCTTTTCTCCATTTAAGTAATATTCAGCTCCACTACTCTTCCTGCCAAAGTGCATCACCTCACATTTCCCCACATTATATTCATTTGGCCAAGTTTTGCTCACTCACAACCCATCTATCCCTCTGTAGACTCTTTAAGTCATCCTATTAACTTGCCTTCCTACATATTTTTTGTGTCATTCGCCAACTTGGCAACAGTATATTCACTTTCCTCATCAAAGACATAAATATTGTAAATAATTGTGGCCCCAGCTCTGATTCCTGTGGCACTCTGATAGTTACAGTTTGCCATCATGAAAATGCCCCTTTATTCCAGCTCTCTGTTTTCTATTTGTTCACCAATCCTCTATTCATGCTAATGTACTACCCCAACACCACACCTCTGATGTTATTAAGCAGGGTAATGTGAAATACCTTCTTGAATTCTCCCCCAATCCTTTGTGCAGCTGCATTCTCCTTTCTCATCCAATATTCTGGTTCCCAGCTTGTGCCAAGAATAAACCCTTCCCAGTAGCACTGGCAAATGCCCTGCCATGATATGAGTCTGACTCTGTTTAAGTGCAAGCTGTCTGATCTGTGTAAGTGTCACTTTCCACAGAACCTGTGCCTCCTTCATCATTTCTACAGCTACACATTGATCTGTTGCATCCTCTTATTTCTATATTGTCTAGCCCATAATGTAAATCTATCTTAATTTTACATCTCATTATTACTCGAGTAGAACAATTTGTTATCTGTGTAATCCACAGTATGCTTACACACAATGTTTGTAATTATGTCTAAATTATATACAGTGCCTAGAAACCATCATCACCAGCAGGCATCATCACCAGTGTGAACAGTAGAACTATAATCCATCACTAATTTCAGTGGACTAGTAATCCAGAACCCCACGTTAGTGTTCTGGGAGATATGGATTCAAATCCCAACATGGGCAGATGGTGAAATTTACAATTAATAAAAATCTGGAATAAAAAGCTGTTCTAATGGTGACTGAAAGATTATTGTTGACTGATGTAAAAAGTCATCTGGTTCACAAATGGCCTTTAGGAAAGAAATCTGCCATCCTTACCTGGTTTGACCTGAATGTGACTCCAAACCCAGAGAAATGAGGTCTATGTGAAATAGCCCAGCAAGGTACTCAGTTCATTAGCAATCAGGGACAGGCAATTACTGCAGCCCTTGCCAGTGACATCTACTTCCTACGATCAGATCAATAATATTGCACATATAATTTCTTGTAAGGTGTATATATCATTCATATATTTATTGTATATATAGACTGGAAAATATCTGTGTAACAATGTTCTAGTAAATACTTTTATATTCATTCATGGGATGAGGGTATCGCTGGCTGGACCAACATTTATTGCCCATTGCAAGCTGCCTTTTTGAACTGCTGCATAGTGTTAGTACACTCACAATGCTGTTTGGGAAGGAGTTCCAGGAATTTGACCCAGCAACACTGAAGTAATGGTGATATATTTCCAAATCAGGATAGTGAGTTACTTGGAGAGGAACTTGCTGGTGGTGTGTTCCCATATATCTCTTACTCTTGTCCTTCCAGCGGTTGCAGGTTCAAAAGCTGCCATTGAAGGAGTCATGTGAGATGCTCAGATTGTTCTGGTTTCATCACCTAGCAAAGCTACTGCCAATGGGAAACAATTTAGCAATACAGTACCCATGTTATATTGGTGATACCATTGACTATCAAGGGACAATGACTAGATTCTCCATTATTGGAGATGGTCATTGCACTTGTGTGGCATGAATGTAGCTTGCCACTGGTCCAGGTCCTGCTGCATTTAGGCATAATCTGTTTATGGTTTAACTACTTTTGTATAATGCCTTATGGTATATACAATGCCCATAACACAATCTGATCAAATATAATGTGTACAATCCCACATACAGCATGATTTAATAAAAATTAATTCTCAGGATATGGCAGTCACTGGCAAGGCTACCTGGAGAAAGTGGTGGTGAGCTACAGGATTTTGACCTATAGGTACAACTACGAAGCCATTATGGAGGGAGTTTCAGGACTTTTTACTGAAGGAATGGCGATATATTTCCAAGTCAGGATGGTGAGTGGCTTGAAGGGAAACCTGTAGGTAGTAGTGTTCCCATGTATTTGCTGCCCTTGTCCTTCTATGTGACAAAAGTTATGGTGTGTTTGAAAGATACACTGCCAAGGTTCCTTTAGCAGTATCTTGTATATACTATATGTGGCAAACCAGTTCCTATCCCAGTTATTTTAGACATTCCCTGGTAGCTCAAACAAATTGCACCAGGGACAGTAAGTTGAGGTGCAAACTGTCTAGGTACTGCAGGTCCCACCACTGACAGAACTTGTCCCAATGTTTGAGGAATCAAAAGATTTCCCTCCTGCACCAACTCTCCAGCCACACATTCATCTGTTCTACCCTCATATTTCTATATTCACTCATGCACTAGTGGTGGAAGGAATGAATGTTTGTGGATGGCTTCCTGCAATAGAAATGTGAGCTTCTTGAGTGTTGCTGAAGCAGCATTCAGAGAGTATCCCATCAGGTTCTACAGTTGTGCTTTGAAGGCAGTGGACAGGACTTTTATGGTTCATTCATTGTCAATCACAGCACAACATGAGGGGGGTTTCAGTTTACTAGGGACAGCACTGCCATTGAACATTAATTTTATATTACTTGGCACATTTGAACCAAGTAATTCGTGAAGATTGTTATAAAACAGAGGTTGACCCCTCCCCCCAAGAACTAAAACTGAAATATCCAAAGAGGAAC